CATCAATATTTCAATCTCTGCTCCTCTGCGTCTCTTTACTCTGGCTCTTGCTGCTGGGAAAGACGCTGTCCCGACAGGGTTCATTTACCTTTCCGGCAATTTATTCCAAGGTGTAATTCCGATGTTGCTACTAAACTTAAATGTGAACACCAAACCTAAAGGAACCATTGACCCATAGATGATCATTTTTGGCAAACGTTGAAAGCCCCATCTGTCCATGTGTCACATGGCTGCAGAGGCAGAGGTAAACAGGAGCTGACACCTGTCACAGATAGCCAACAAGCTAGCCCCCATATCTGTCTGTCCATGGTTATCTGTCATGTGTCATCGAGCTGGAGCCAGAAAACTAAGCAGTGTCATGTCTGCTAATATCTGTGTTTGACACAGATGACATCAGTCATGTGGAAATGAAAAAAAAAGCTAATTATATTTGTAGTATTATTATTAATGTTATTATGTGCATTCAATGTATGATGTTATCATTCATATAGGCAGCCTGATCAAGATGTGAATACAAATGTAATTATATTGTCAGTTGTATGCGAACAATTTTTTTAATAGAGCCAGCAGTTGCGTCTATAATAAAAAAAAACAATACTGGTGATACAAGGTTTCAGTTGTTTGTTGTCATTATGCCAACACTTGCTGGAGCCCAACATTAGGCGCTTTCACACCGCAGTACTTTTCCTACAAAGGTTCATGAGATCGCGTTCACACCAGAATAAGTTCCTGGGGGAGGATTAGGCAAATGAAGTCGCTGACGTCACTTCTTCTTCTTCTTCTTTGGGTTTACTGGCAGGCCGCAAACAACTTCACCGTGTATACTGCCACCTGAAGTCCCCGGCCGGAAGTCCCCGGAGTTGGGGACTGGCTTCAGTAGAAGCTGCTGGGACTCCCAGCCGCTTCTACTGAAGCCTTCCGAGTAAATCGCCAGAACGCCGACACCTCCTCATCTCCACCACTCCCATGTTTTCTTTTGTGTTGCCATAAGTTAGTCTCTCTGCGTTTCTGCGCTGGGCTAATGCTAATAAAGGATAATAATAAAATGGCGGCTTCACGGGAGTTTTACGGGGCGTGGTTTGCATTCCACCCAGCCAATCAGACATAGGAACCTTTTTCTCCCACGAAAGTACCTGCTCTCTAGCAGGGACGGGGAAAAAAATTCTCATTTACTAATTTTAGTTCCAGCTCTTTTTGGTGTGAACGCGACATTTCGGAACTATTTTGGAACTAAAGTGGGAAAAGTACTGCGGTGTGAACGCGCCTATTCAAGCTGAGTGATGATAGCCAGCACACATGGTGCACACTAATGCAGTGTGTCATGTGGGAGTGGTAGCAGTGTGTCTGTATCTATGAAGCATCATGTCCTGTTTTAGATGGGGCCATTTCCAAAACATCCTCTGACAGTTCAAAATGACAAGGTGACAGCCACAATGGGGGTCTGAGGACCACAACAGAAATACTCTGGCACTCCTCTCCTGTCACGTTCTCCAGGCCGCCATCATGTTTACAGAGCAGGGCCTCTGGAAGTTTCAGATGTTAAACCTTTTTTAAGAGGCTTTGACTGCTGCTTTAATGTGAAAGTAAAATAAAGAAATGTAAACAATTATTGTTATGGAACAAATATATATTATTAAAGTTATTCCAGGTACTACAGTGTTACGGCCGATCTATAATCAGAACCATTTCTTGAAGTATGTACAGTTGGATTCATATTTATATTGAAACTTAATATTTGTTCAAGAACAAGTCAGGTTCAGTTAATGCCCGGACAAGAGGACAGATTTGTGTCAGAAAAACTTACAAGGTGAGTTAAATCATATTGAAATGAAATACAAATCTGAGGAACATGGCTAAACATTACTCTACTTCTGTTTCACTCACACACCTTAAGATACACAGTTCTGTGCCAACACACAGACCAACTCACACTCAATCAGTTTCCCAGCAAGACTCTGTCACGCACAACACTCTGTATACGAACCCCCACACACCCACCTATACACTCACACAAACACCCACAACCTTGTCATTTCCTATGACATCCCAAGCCTCCATTACCTGCATACATTAACCAACCTCTCTGATGTTAAAAATTACACATTTGTACATTTGAATAATTCAGATTATTTTAAAAGCTGTGCACTCACTCACTCACTTTTTTCCAGATGGAAAGAGAGCTATTTACCTCAAATTGCATTTGAATAATTCCTATAAATCCTTTCAAAGTTCCCAGGGATAAACCAATCAAATACCCCCAACGCTGCCTGACTGGCCAATCAATTATAGCATTCATACTTGCAGCCTTTTTTTATTCAAAAGACATCAAATAGCAAATCAAATTGCAGGTCCTATTTGTGAGGCTCAATTTGTTTGAGATAAGAAAAGGTGGCTAATAGAGTGAGAGAGAAGGGGCATCGCTGCAGAGCCATAATGTGATTCCAAACCTAACACAAATATTTGATGGAGTAAACAGCGTGCTTTAGGTTCATAAATAAAGTAGCTGATTCTATTTGTTTAACAGAAGAGAAATATATTATATGTGACAAAAAAAATATACATTAGATGGCCAAACAGTAGGGACACCAAATGATTCCTGAGCTGAACTTTCTTATCACACTCAACGTATAGTACGTATGGGTGTGCGTCTTTGTATGTGTGACTGTGATTATGATAGATGGCAGAGTTAGAATAAATAAGCAACAAGAATATAAGCATGGATAAGTACATGACTCCTGAACTTATAACAGGTTAATACAGACTTGCAATAACACAATATTTAAAAGGTTTAATAACTTAAACACTTGATTTTGACTGTGTTTACCAAAGAGCAGCGGATAGATAGTTTAACGTCATCTCGCTCTCCTGCCATTACCCTTCTCTGTCTTTTTCCAACAGTCTGATAATCATGACAGGCGGTAACCTCCAGCTTCCTCTTTCTCTGTTTTGAAAACAACAACTAACCGTCTCTGACATTTGTTTCCTGCATTTTAACAGATTACACACACACACACACACACACACACACACAAACACACACACACACACACACACACACACACACACACACACAAACACACAAACACCCCCATGCAAACACACACCCTTAATCTGATATCCACACTGAAGTTCCTGCTTTGTGACAAGTTTGCATGATCGCAATTTGTTGACCACAAGTTAGATGTGTAACTAGCAGTTTAAATTATTCATTGTATTCAAATGAATTGATTTAGCTATGGGTGTCATAAGGGCTGTAACTGACAATGCACAACAAAGCTTTTTTGAGACATTTATTTTATTCTTATGTTTTATTATTAAAAGGCAGCACCCTAATGTTTGCCTTACAGGACAGTAATAAAGTCATTCACACAACACAGTCTTCCCAAAATAATGTATGCCCTGCAACTTCTCCCGAACAAGTGTAAAGGGCAGGTGCACTGTGGCCCACATCTAACATGTGCTCAAACACACACACACACCAAGGTTCAAGCAGCTGGTGAGTTTGCCCTTGACTGCCCAGCCCGGGGCAATGCAGCGGCATGGATGCAGCTGTTTTAAAGAGTTCTGGATGAGATTTAGAAAGCCATGTCCTTGTCAAGGGTATCTTCTTGTTTTTCATTACTTAGAAATACACTGAGTCTGTTTTCAGAACTACAATACAACTGCTTCAATTGTCATGTTTCGAAATCTACAAGTTATCCGAAGAGCACAGTTGGAAGGAGCCGGACATCTAATCGTTTATTGGATAGCCAACACTGTTTAAGTGTTATTCTTGTGTGCATGACAGTAAAATAATGGGAGTATAGTGCGATTTTTTCAAAATCTGCTGTGATCCTGCAACAAAAGAGGTTTAAACGGATGTGCAGCATGTAAACTTTGTTATGCCCTAACACTAGACTCCAGTGTTGATATTTAGTTTTCATTTTGATACCTGTATTAACACAACCCCTGGTTTTGGCATAAAGACTGCAACAAACACAGTAACCAACAAGGTGACCACACGTTTTACATATTGGGCCAGTATGAAAAGCAGTTCAACTGAATCCTAAATGCCTGTTGCCTCAAAGCAATACCTTTAAATGTTCAGAAAATCAGAACAGAAAAACAGGCTGTTATCAAAGCAATGCTAATGAAGCATCCACCATTCAAACATATAGTATTTATTATCTGACTATTATTAGTTTTAAGTAAGAGGTCCCTACGATCTTTGACAGCTGTCAGGGATAAGGTCTTAGTTTACTAACACTGAAAAAACAAGAGAACATTTGATCAGGATTGATAGGTACTCTAAAACATCCATGGTCAAATGTTTAGGTTGAATAATGTGCATGAACAATAATATATTAAAAGGATGAGACAGTTGAGCTGTGTTTGCTGCAGTGGTTTTGGGGTCCTGAATACACCAAACACAGCATTCAACATGACATGGGCTGGGGCTTTGTAATCCAGAGGGGAGAAGAGGGGAGACGGTGTGAAGGGGTGGACCTGAATTTAATTTGTATAAGATATTGTGTTTATTAGTTTCCATGTGTGTACATGTATAAAGATGTAGTATACAGATTTGTACGGACTACACCAATACAAAAAGTTATGGATGGATAAGTGTGACGAGTGTTCTCAGTGTAGACTTGACCTTGAGTGACCCGCCTGAGGCTCTAACAGAGACATGGCCTGCTGTGCGATTAGGGATTCTGGGAGTCTACTGTTAAGGAACAGATGCCAGGGCACAACAGCTGTTCATCTGGCATCATCTCCCCAAGATCCCTGTTATCCTTTATCAGCACCTTCAATTGTCCAATAGTAGCACTTCCAGTTCAACAGCAGATAAATCAAGATTCAGGACATTTGTCGGACATTCAATGATCCTTATAGTCATTTAAGTACCTCTTTTTTCAGGGAATGTTTTGCAAGTATCCAGCAAATAAACAACTTCATTCAAATTCCTGTTGTGATAGTGTGTGTCTGTGCAGTTGCATGTGTGGGAGAGATAATGCACTCACCCTGGAAAGACTGTCTGGCTCTCTCCACTAGCTCCTCGATGGAATAGCTGGCCAGGTCTCCTCTGGCATGTTTAGTCTTACAGTAGGTACACGCATTCAAACATCTAGACAGGAAAACACAGACAAGATGAGAGAAGATGAAATACAGTATGAGTAGTATTATTTTTATTATTTGTTCAAGGTTAAAGCATTCAAAAAAGCTTGTAATTAAAAGTGTGAAAATATGGCTACATTTGGTGCAAAAACCACAACTTGTAAAACTCAAACATGTAAAAGTCATAATTGATTAATTTGTTAGCTTCTTGTTTTAAATTTGATTGGCATCCATTTGGAAAAAATCCAGACAGGTTTACATTTTAAATCATTCAAAATGTAAAATCTGAAAATTGACCAAATCAGCCAAGAAAGAAATGTAAGACTGAGATACTTATGGGATGCAGTCAAACTGAACCCAGTCTGGGGAACATGACAAGCTGAACTAAAAGAGGGGCCCATCTAATAAAAAAAAGAACAATATCAGTTTGTGCCTTTACCTTGCCATCAGAGAGCCATTTACAAGGGGATTATCGAGTCTGGTTGCTTTGGCAAGAGGCTTCAGTCCCTAACCAGAAAGTGCTGTCATAAGGCAAGGTAAATATTGTATATAAAGTGTACACTTAAAACTCATATTGATTCCTTTATGTGGGCCTTTCTTTGATGTGGCTATAATGTATTCCTGCTGGCTCAGCCACAGCAGCACATTGGTTAAATGCTGTGCCAATCCTGCCTGCTTTTCCAGACCGGGGGCTTGCAGACTTCATACAACCCCAAGTCAAACAATCAGATACTATACCATTTAATTTGCACATAAATCAACTGAATAGTGGAGTTCAGCAGAGATTGAGGAGACTATGATGAGTGCACAAATAGATGAAAGAAACTTTATATATGCTCCTTTTCCCAAAGAGCAGACGCAGGAGAAGAAAGCAGGGATTCTAAACTGTCCTTTCTTTTCTGAACTGCTCACAGAACTCTAGCTAGCTTGATAATAACCGTGGACAGCTGTCGCTTGACTCGTTTTTTTTAATTGACCATGAAAGGGAGGGATCAAGACTATGAAGCAGAAACAAAGTAAATTGGTAACAAATTGCCTCACACTAGATCTAGAAGCATGGCATGGTTTAAACTCTAAAGTTGAAATAATATGTATTGCTCTTTGTTCGAGATGAAGGGGGCTATTCTTCAAGAGTTAAATCCCTCCTGAAAAGAAGAAGAAAGGCTACTGTTTTTTTATTTATTTACTCCATTAGGGTTTCATGTCTGACCTCCAATCTAACCTCATACTGGGTTAAAAACATACACTGTTGTTACTACAATAGTTTGTTTTTACTGACTGTTTTTACTGGCTTAAATTTCTGGCGACAGCTGTAATTACTTGCAGGAACATGCTGTTCGGTGAAAACTAAAATTGTTTATTGTGTGTATTTATTGAGTTTTTACTCAAAAGGAAAAACAAGCCCAAATGTATCTTGTAAAAGACCATGATAAATCAGTTTCATCTCTAAGTGTGATCATCTATCGGGGGAAACAAGTGAGCCTAGTTGGTGCCTTTAGCTTGGAGATTGGAGTTTTTACATGGGGATGAATCTACTGCCACATTCAGCTGTCAATGGTGTTTAACAACAGTAATGTTAAGCACTTGTGATGTTTCAACTAAAATCCCAAACTAGAAAAAAGTGTGACTAATGTTGGAGGACAGTCCACTTACTTATAAAGAAAACAACGTGAGCATACATCCACACAGCACCACTAATGCAAGCGTTTGACACAGGGAAAAGATCCAGTGTCTTTTATAAAAGTGTGACACTGTTTAAATTGGTTTGTGAAAAATGTCTTACTAATGATTTTAAACATCAAATGCTGTGAAGTAAGGCAGCAGTATTTGACTATGAAATCAGACTGTCGTAGATAGCAAGCGTTGACCCTGTATCTGTCCGTGACAAACTCATGGAGAAATTACAGGGATTCCCAGAAGCTTGGCAAAACCATGACAACAACACAGGACTCAAGGCCAGAGTAATGAAGCAGTGGAGAGACTATAAGTGTATCCTCATAGTTTACATTACCCACTGAATAAAGTCTAAAAGCTTTCTGGGAAAAACAGGGTGAGACTCACAGATGAAGTTCAGAAAATAGTTTCAGAGAAAACTACTTCAGTTGAAGCATGGAAGTTACGGTCATTATGAATTCCACCAGAAAATTGGTTGTAAAGTTTAAAAGGTTTTTCCAGGAGGAAAGGTTATTTGGAACTACAGTTTTACTATGGGTTAAGATTGAAACACTTTTACACATTTAGCTACTTAGCAGGTCAGTTACAACAAATTGGAGTAAAGCAAGAGGGTCTAAGGGACCTTTGAACCTTCTTTACTGCATTTCCTGGACTGTGAAAGACCTTCATACTGCAAGTGCCGACTGAGACAGCTACAATATCTTTACAATCATTTTGAAAAACAACCACAACGCCGGGAGCATTTTTTAATGTCACCGTGGAGAACACGGACAAACAAAAAGAGAATATGGCTATCTATTCATCTATCCATCAATCTCTCCCTCTCAGGGTATTGCTTATCAGAGTTGAGGGCACTAAAGATGGCAGCTAGGTCACAGGACCTCGCTGTAGAGAAAACACAGACAGATGGGGCCCTGCATGTGCACACACTCACACACACACACACCATACACCACCAGGGGGTCCATCCATCTTAATGTGATCAGGCCCAGCTGAGTGGATCACACCAACATTAATCTCAAGAGACAGTTAGTGGCCTTCTTGTGTGTGGCGTGTGTGTGTGTGTCTGTGTGTGGCGTGTGTGTGTATTTTGCATCAATTATGTGTATGTGTGTGAGTGTGCTGGTGTGAGTGTGCTGCTGCTTAACATTTGTCCAGTATCACAACAACGCATTAGCAGTTACGAACTCACAATCAACCCAAACAGACTGCGACAACTAGTCAGCACCCTCGAACTGACAGTGGCTGAAGGAGAGGAGCGGTGTCACTCTCTATGACACACACACACACACACACTCTTTGCTGTGTCTATTGGAAGACAAGAGAACAGAAATAACAGATGTTTTGATTACTTTTACATTTTAATTGTATACTATCAAGCAACAGGGAAAACAATTTGTAAAAAGTAGCTGGAATAACACACTACTGTTACAGGTCATGATTAATACCAACTCACTATTGGTGTGAGGGAAAAATACTAGAACTTAAAATATATATTTATTCTCCTTATCAAGCATCCATCCTTTTTCCTCCTTTGTTTCTGTCCCCTCTGCCCTTAGCTTCATCTCGGTAATTAAACCACAGAGGTAGTTGCTGAACTTCACAACAGTGTAGTTCATCAATGTCCCATGTGTGTGTGTGTGTGTGTGTGTGTGTGGTGCTGTGTGTGTGTGTGTGTGTGTGTGTGTGTGTGTGTGTGTGTGTGTGTGTGTGTGTGTGTGTGTGGGTGTGTGTGTGTGTGATAGAGACTATTGTGTAGTTGCAGCCTTGCAGAAAAGCCCTGAGGTTCCTCTATACGTTTGTAAATCACACACACACACACACACACACACACACACACACACACACACACACACACACACACACACACACACACACACACACACACACACACACACACACACACACACACACACACACACACACACACACACACACACACACACACACACACACACACACACACACACAGTGTAGTTCCCTTTGGAGACGCTCCCTCGTTTAGCATCAGACAGACCTGGAGAGAGTTGAGAAGGAAAAGGTTTCTCAATGATAAGCATTTATACTCTACACGTTAATTAGAAAACTGCTCTACGCATAAACAAATAGGGCCATTTGTGCATTTACATGAATGTGTGTGTGTGTGTGTGTGTGTGTGTGTGTGTGTGTGTGTGTGTGTGTGTGTGTGTAGTGTGTGTGTGTGTGTGTGTGTGTGTGTGTGCTGTGTGGTGTGTGTTGTTGTGTGTGTGTGTGTGTGTGTGTGTGTGTGTGTGTGTTGTGTGTGTGTGTGTGGTGTGGTTTATGGGGTTTGTATTGTGCAGGCTTAAAGATGTGTAATTATGAAAACAAAGCTTAAACTGCAAGGGGAAAGTCTGGGGTATTTTTCAAAAAGTGAAGAAAGATTATTTATCGCTCTTATTGTTGAGACGGGGAGAGGGGTGGAGTGGGTATAGGAGCAAACAAAACCTTAAACTGCCATACGAGAGAACAAAGCCTCAAGCCTGTACGTTTACTGTTAGTGTTGTCTCAAAGTCAAAGTGGAGGTTGCTAAATAATGTGGAGTCACAGAACAAAGAATGCTGATACAATGGAGTAAAGACCTATTAGGAGCAATTAATAGAGGAAGATTAGTTATTCAGAGAAAGATTGGCAGCTTAACCATTTTTACCCTTGATACAGAGTATGAGAGGGCTGCATTCAAGTCACATGGGAACTTTGTATGGTCCTGTGTGACTGACAACAGACAATATTCCTTATAACTCATATCCTATTAGGCGCTCTCATTTTAAAACATTATCAGGATTAGGAATCAAACAGAAATTAAAGGGCTTATATATCTCTGTTTAAGGAGATGTGCCTTCTTGGATCACATTTTAAGCAAACAAATGTGTTTACTATGTAAAAACAGTGCTGCTCCAGTTAAAAGAAATAAAAATAAAGTCCTGTTTTCTGTCCTGTCTATGAGAAGCTCTGGTCAGACTGAAAGTTAAATAAACACGCATTTCTCTCACTATTATCTCTCTTAATTGTTTTTGTATTTTCTTTCCTTGTTGGTGTGTGCATGTTATTATTCATCTGTGAACAGACCAGTGAGTGTTTATGTGCGTGTCCTAATGCAGCTGGGCTCTCTCAGTCTTCAACCCAGCCTCTGTGTTTGACCTCTCCAATTCTGTTATTTAGTCTGGTGTTCCCAGAGCTGCACACTGAAACAGCTCTGTGTGTGTGTGTGTGTGTGTGTGTGTGTGTGTGTGTGTGTGTGTGTGTGTGTGTGTGTGTGTGTGTGTGTTGTGTGTGTGTGTGTGTGTGGTGTGTGTGTGTGGTGTGTGTGTGTGTGTG